AGAGGAAAAGAAGGGATGGGCAATGAAAGCAGCTCATTTCACACTAGTCTATGAACTTCATTTGGAAACCTAAAAATAGCCCAGCTAAGCCAGTTTCTAGTGCCATGGAGGGTCAATATGGACAGGGCCAAACTGTGGACCTCAATATTTTTTTTACATATTGTAGTAGTGGACAGCAGAGTTTCCAAGTTATTTCTTAATCCAGTTTGGTCTCATTCACACCCCCTGAGCAGAATGGTTTAGCTGAGACCATGCAAGAACAGATTGCACATGGCTCCCAAACACGATCCCCACGTCAGTGAAGGCAGGGCCACGGAGAATGGACAGCACATCACAGGCCCATCTGAAGGCTAAGGAGGTCACAAAGGCACTGATAGCCTCAGCCGGAAAGCAAGAGCTGCAGGACTGTGCCCTCGTCAAGCAGCTCCTGCAGCCATCGCCAAGAATGGCATGAAGACTTGGTCTTTCGGGGGTTACTTTGACTGTGGGCAACGGGCTCTGTTTGGCCACTGAGATGATTCATCCCTTGCCCGGGCTCTCCCACTTCTTCCCTTCTGAAGACTCCACAACAGTGCCCAGCTCCCACTCACCGAGGCATTTAATGATCCCGTGAGAACACGGCTCTCTCCTTTCTGGTCCTTCCCCAGACAGATGAACATCACTGCAAAGCAACCACTGCATGCACTCTCCCCAAAGCCATGCTGTGTCACTAGGGTAAGGGGAGATTGGCTACACACAACAGAACTATTTCCCGGGGGGTGTTTGCAGAAGGAAGGAAAGGAAGGAGAGATGGAGGGAGGAAGAGAGAGACCTTCAGATTCTTAAAGAATAGTACCCTCTCTAACTGGTTCAGGGTTTTGGGCTGTTCCCCACTATTTAGTTCCAGTTTGTTGAGGAGACATGGAGAAATCTGTGAAAGACAGGCAAACGCATGGTTTAAACAAAGCAAACTGAATCCAAAGAGAAAGAATAACCTGGCAGAGGGCACGACTATGGGGAAGAATTATGGTAGGTGGTGAACACACAGCACAAGGCAACTGTGCGGTTCAGAGACCGGACATGGGGTATTGCCTTCATGAGCAGGAAGCAGCCCTCACCTGATCACTGGAAAGCCTGGGGGAGGATTTACTGACAGAAAGCTACAGCTTCTGCATGTGGGCTTTAGGAGTTCTGGCACTGCCACCGTCACATAGATCAGCTCTGCCCTTTCCCTGTTCTCACTACCCCACCCTATGCTCCACACAAAGCCTGTCACTTCCTTCCATCAGGGAAGGAAACATGCAGCGACAGGGTGTCACCATAAGCTGCCGTGTAAGTAGTTCAGATCCCTCATCACAAGCGCACACGGGCAGCAGATTTCGCAGGTCTCCTCTGCAGAGCACAACTCTAGGAAAGGCGATTGTGAACGGCCGGGGATCCAGGAGGAAAGAGGAGACATACTACGCTTAAACATGTGACGTCACATTGGTGGTATATACCCCACTGCCTCCAGCTTCTTACCATTCATTGGCAAGGCAGCTATACACACAAGATGGTGCTAGGCAACAACCCACAGGCCTGTGGTCCCTTTCTCCTCCAAGGGAGGATGGAAGGGAGACGGGGAGAAAGAACAACCCTTTCCAAAGGCACAAGCCCTCTTCTGAACTCAGCCTCTCACCACGGGCATCCCTCTCTCCACTTCCCGTCTCTTCATGAGAAAAGCCTCCTGAGCCCTTGCCAACGTGAGGGAATTTTCACGTTGCCTCACCTACCCCCCAGAAGGCTTCCTTTCTAGGTCAGGGGAGAGGAACAAGAGGCACTGGTGAGCAACACAGGCAAATGTAGTGAAAGGGAAGGGTGAAAAAGAAGCTGGAGAGATGCCAGACGGGGTAAAACATCTGGAAGGCTTCCCCGCCAGATCCCAGGCCTGGCAAGGGTTTTCTATGCGTGGAGCAACGGAGGGCTATTCCCAGAGCTCTGCCGGACTTGCCCAGGCAAGAATTCATAGGAAAAATTCATTGCTGGAAAAAGGGAACAACTCCACCGAGTTCAATAAAGCTGTGCCCATTCACTCCAGTGGTGAATTCAGCCCTACGTGACTACGTGTGCCTTCTTTACTGACCTAGGGATGTTCAGGAATATCATAGCCATACATGTGAAGGCAAGAAGAGAGCTGTGAGCAAGCAAGGGGGGGAGGAAGGGGAGACTGCAGGGAGTGTACTGGCTCTTACCTTCTTCATGTTAGCCCCCACGTAGCTTTTAGGCTCCTCCTTAAAGTGAGGCAATCTGAAAGACAAAGAACAAGCAGGAAAGCACACGGCCTCCAGGGCGCTGGGGCAGGAAGAGAACACCTTCCCCAGATGTGGAGGACCCCAGGGACCCACCATCTCCTCCAGGAAGCATCCACTTCCAGTTCCCGTGGGAAAAGTCTTCTCTGCACAGAAAGCACCCCACTGCAGCTCTAGCAGGGATGCCATTCTGCTGATGTTAGCAGCTTCAGGAGCCCTTGTGTAGAGAACCCTCTGGCTCCAGCTGCTGGTATCAGCACTGCAAACTCAACTTGTCCAGAGCACGTCCAAGTAGCACTTGGCTGAAAATGGCAGCAGGTCAAGAGCCACCCAGGCTAGGAGTCCTGATATTTCTGATATCTATATTAGGGATGATCTAGACGGTGCTTGGTCTGCCGGGAGGGCAGGGACTGGACTTGATGATCCCTTGAGGGCCCTTCCAGTTCTACTGTTCTATGATTCTATGCTAATCCCGCTCAACTGCACCTCGGTTTCTCTTCTCTCACAAGCAGCAGTCAGCTTTGGAGTAGCTATTACTCGGAACTCATCCAACTGAACCAGCAAGACGCCCTGGGATTATCCACCACATTGCACCATATATAATTAGAATCCAATGCTACTGTCGCCAGCCCTCAGCCTGAAAGCCTCACATAAAGCAACCCCTTCGTTGGGGACAGACTAGATGGGAAGGTCAGAGCTTGGCAGGAATAGGCAGCTTAAATCGCCCTCCCAAATGATCTCGAATACACAGCCTTTACATTTTTACCACCCCACAGTCCCTGTTCCTCTCATCTGGCTGGTTGATCCTTCTGGCCTTGACATGCTTAGGAGACAGCAAGCCCGTGCTCCAGCTTTGCACAACAGGGAACAGACAAGGAGAGGCAAACAGAGGGAGCCCCCTCGTCGCAGGGGCAGTGTCCCTCCATGGGGTGCCCCAGTGGTTCCAGTTCAGCTGCTCTCAGGAACTAGCCATGGAGATGATGTCTCCAGGTTAAATTAGGAGCAGGAAGAGGAAGCTGCATATGGATTTGTGAATAAGAACTCTACCAAGCTGCCAACTAAACAAAACAGATCAGATGATCACTGCTCCTTTAAAGTGCACGTGCTCCTGCACCAAGCCACAAAGACATCAAATGGGGCACCCGCCTCCATCCAGGTCCCAAGTGGCACAGTCAGAGTCATATTTCAGGGCAGACGGGACCCAACGACCATCCAATGTATCCCACACCACGACCGCCCAGCACCCGCTCATTGGGCAACTAGAATCAGACCCCAGGATTACAGCAGGCAAAACTAGCACGTGCCACAGCAGAGACCGGGGGGGCAAAAGTGCACCAGTCCCTGGGGCACCCGCAATGGGTGGGAAACAGTGAAGTGAGATCCTCAGAGATTACCAGCAAGTGACCCACCCTACACTGCAGACCAAGGCGAACGTTCCCCACTGCCAATCTCACCTGGGGGAAATTCCTTCCAGACCCCACAGCACGTGAGCAAGCGCCAGCCAGCCGGCCCAGCATACGAGAAAGAGCATGCTTGGTGCCACTGCTCAGCCTTGCCCGCCCCCAACTATCCCACTGCCAGTGACGGCCGTCCCAGGGACGTCAGAGAAAGGAGATTTTAAACTTCCAGAATCTACGGAGGGAGCGGTCAGAGGAATCCCAGCCTGACTGGTGGCCAGCTGAAACCCTGAAGCATGAGCTCTCGGACACACAAGACAAACTGGAACTGATCCCGAGGGCTGCTGAGCCCTGCCCCATCCAACCAGCTCACTCACCAACTGGTGTGTCTCAGCATTAATTTTCGCTCCTCTAATTCCTTGTGGGAGGCTACTCCTGAAACTCAGCTCACTGAGGGTTGGAAACCTCCCTATTTCCAGCCTTTGTTCATGGTCTGTTTATGACCCATTTGTTCGTGTGCTAGGACGGTCCCTGACACCTATCCCCAATGGATGTACAGAGAGCAATCCTCCCCTCAGCCTTTTCCTTTTAGCCTAAAAGAGTAAAGATTTTCACATCTCCTCTCGCAAGAGAGACCCTCCATTTCCTTAACCATCCTAGGATCGCCTCTGTACCTGGCCCAGTTGAATTCATCTTTCTTAAACACAGGGGACCAGAATTGTAAACAATATTCCCCATGAGGTCTGACAGATGCCTTGGACAACGGCATTGACACTTCTCTGTCTCTAATGGAAATGCCTAGCCTGATTCACCCTAGGATCAAACATGCTTTGTTCACACATCGTTCTGGTGGCTCATACTCATTCAGTGATTGTCCCACACACTCAGCTCTCTCCCCTTGTGTTTTGCTTCCACCTGATGAACCCCCAAACTTGCAGGAAAAATGTTTATTATTAGATCCTAAGTGCACGACTTTGCACTTCTGAACTACAGAAATGTGTTTTAAGCCTCACGTGACCAAGCCCTGGATGATTTCATTGGGGTTGGATTAGATGACCCCCTGAGATCTCTTCTAACCTTAATCTTCTGATCCCACTTCTGTGTCTCCAATGTTCAAGCTCATCTGAATCTTCCTGTATAGTATTCCAGCCCAGGTCTCATTGATCATCAGTATTGCCTCCAAACTTTAGATCTTGAGCACATTTCATTAGCAGACTCCTACTTCTTGTGCCAAGGTCATCAATAAAAATACTGAACAAAGGCTGGTCCCAAGACTGGCCCTTGAGGCGCTCCACTAGTAAATTCCCTCCAGGCTGATAACTCCCCTTCCAACAGAACCATTGCCTTACCCCCTTTAGCCAACTCCTTATCTACCTTGCAATTCTTGTACTGCATCCCAACTTCTCTAATTTAACTAATGATTTTCCATGGGTACCATGTCTGAAGCCCAAGGATGTTAGAGCTACTGCACTTCCCTTAGATATAAAAACATCTGCTATTCTCAAGGTAAGCATGCCATGATCTACGTTTGTTGAACCCACATTGTTTTGCCTCCATTCATTTAATTATTTTTCCTTCACAATTTCTACTGAAGCCTACAGTGCTACTGACGTCAGACTAACCAATTTAATTGCCCTGATCACTTTTCCCCCCCTTTCGTGATATACCAAGGTCATTGGCAACTCTCCAGTCATACAGTATTACCTTTGAATTGATACATTTATTAAAAATCTTTGCTACTGCACTAGCCATTTCATGTGCCAGTTCTTTCAGCATTCTGGGATTGAATGTATCCAGTGTCACTGATCTGAGCACATTAAGCTCCTTTAGCGGGGCCCAGATGGGGCTAGCGGGGCCAGTTGCAGTGGCTGGGAGCATGGCAGATGGAAGGATGTGCTTGTGGAAACTGAGGAGCCGAGCAAAGAGCAGAGGCACGACGCGGCAGTCTCCAGACAGTCAGCATTTCTCGGATGCTGCCTTTGGAACAGATCTCTATATTTGTAGAATACCCAGAGAAAGGCATTGACTATTTCATTGGCCAGGAAAGGGAGCGGAGCTATTGCTTACAAAAATGAATCAAGTACTGTGTTTCAGGAGAGGGAACCCTAGTTCAATACTTGGGCACAGGAGCCAGCCAAATGATAAGCTGCCCAACCGGCCCTGCAGGAGTTAAATTCCTTTCAATATCTGAGGTGAAACTCTCTGCTGGGATTAAGCATGTATCTCTCTCATACAGTCTGTCTAGTACATTTTTAAAGAGAACAATACATGTTAAAGCACTGAAATGGATGCTGGGATTGTCAGGAGAATTTGCATTATCTGGCCAAAGAACCTTTCCCTAACCTGAAGTTCTTCATTGGTTGCCTGTCTGTCTGTCCTGAAGGGCACTTGAAACCACACAGCTTGGCCTAACTCCCAGCTGGTCTTGGTGGGACAGCCCAAGAGAGAAGGACCAAATCCTCCTTTTCCCACCACCCTGGGCCATGGGCCGCTCAAACGGATTTTCTGTGGGCCCCTAAGTGGGAATGTGGACTCTTCCTGTCCATAGAGGGCCATCTCAGCAATGCTGAGGCAAACACAAGCAGGTTTACCTTGTGAAGAGCAGCTGCACCATGTCGACCAGAGTGTGCTCTGCAGATTTTCTCAATAACTCTGCGAAGACAAAAACAAATAACACAGGTGTCATTACTCAGTGTGATATTATCAAGAGGCTTCTCCAAGCAGACTCCCCTCCGAGCCTTGTTTACAGAGGATTATGGCAAATTTATTAAAACCAGCTCCAATTCTGCCTTGCTGCAAAATGGGCACCTACTCACAAGGTGGTGCCATAGAGCTGGGGAAAAAACCAGAGATGCCACTGAACAAGAAGCTGAGCTGTGACCCTCTGACTGATGGAAACTCCCCATCTACCCACAGCTGGATTTCTGGGCCTAAATCCAGAGGTCTGGAGAGCCCAGACCAGTTCTTGGGAGCTGCCACCATGGGAATACGAAGAACCAACCTACCACTGAGCCTCATTTCAAAGCATATTCGGAAGCAGGACTGCATGATCTCACACACTGACTCGTTGGTGAGATGGGCTCCCACAGGCGTAAGCAGCAGGGTCCTCAAAACCTGCAAAGAGCAAAGTTTCAATGCAATGCTGTTCCCCTGCACGCCTGAGACACAGGGCAGGTCTGCGTGGACCTCAGGAACCGCTGCCTTGAGTGAGAAGAGGGGGGAGTCACTTCCAAGTGCCACGGGACTGCTCACTGCGCTCAAGCGCAGAACAGCTGGACAGCAGGAGTGACGGGCCGGCTCACGGGCTGAGCACCTCACATACTGCCCAGCACGTGGGCTCCGTAGCCCAAATGCAGATCTAAGAGGAACATAACTCTAGGCTGGTCTCAGAGCAACAACTTTCACCCCCTCACCGCTACCAAGCAAGCAGCTGGGCTTCCCGTCCCTGCTTCCCCCGCCACTGAAGAGGAACACACACAGGCGAGGATCAAGGCTGCAGCACATCCAGAACTCTTTACAATCAATTCATTTAAGCTTTTAATTATTTTCATTTGGAAAAGCTTTTACCCCAGGTACATGAGCCATCTGTTTAAAAATAAAGTCTGTCACTAAGCTCCCGCAGAGTCAAAACACGGCTCCCCCCCTTCCCCGTCTCCATGTAACTGGATCCGCCAGTGCCAGGCAGCAACCATTATGGTAATTGCCACTTCTCTCTGCTTACCTGCAGGATTTTCATCAGGACGACCTCATCGCTCGCTGGGTCGGTGCCCACAAACCGGGCGTGTGTGACGGCGTCCGCCATGTTCTCCATTCCTTCAGCCGTGCCCTCATGGCTGGGAGCTGCACGAGAAAACGAGGCGCCATGGCAGGAAAGGGAAACTGACAGGGAAAAGCCAGCTGCAGGCGGCCGCCTCTGTGGGGAGGCACTGGCCAGAGCTGTGGCATTTTCACGTGGCTTGGGGTGGACTCCTCTCCCTGGAGGGGCCACCCAACGGCCACTAGCATCAATGGGCCTTGCGTTGCTTGCTGAGAGTTTTCGGTACTGCACCAGGGCACCCTGCAAACAGGCAGTTCCCAGCCCAAAGAGTTGACGTGCGGACGCACTCAAGGAAGGGGAAAGGAGTAAGTGCCTATGCTGGTTATGACCCCCGGTAGGTCCTGCTTTGGTTAGAAGGTTATAAGGCTACGCCCATTGTCCCCAAAACTCCCTGGGCTAGCCAGTCAGCTGGTAACCGCGCACCACTCCACATCCCATGGGGAGAGAAAAACGTCGACATGTGGAACCAGTTTCCATTTGTGAACTCACTTCTGCGGCAGGCACAGGAGTCTCTGCAGAAGCTTCAGGCAGGAGGGCAGAGCGCTGTAGCTCTGCTCCCGGGAGCAGGGGAGGAAGAGGAAATGGGCCAATCTCTCCCAGGGGAACAAGGAGAGACAGACGGGCCCTGGCTGAGATACCAGAGCCGCAGCCCTCCCACTTCCATCCGTCATCAAGGCCCCGCTCTCCATTTCATTCTCTTCTATCTGCAAACATGGGTGCAGCTGAGGGGGACTTCTGGACAGGCCCGTTGCCAGTAACAGTATCATGTGCCACATTTCAGTGGCTTCGGGAAAGCTGCCCCTGGCTTTGATTTCATTCTCACTTAAACAATATTGCACTGAGTAAGACTCTTGTTACCATCCTAACCAAACAGTCATTAGACAAACTCACCACGAGTTAATACCTCGTTAACTGGGGACAGCTCCACGAGCTCCGGCAAACGTGCACCCTGCACAAGAGCCATGGGTGCAAAGGGCCCGGAGCATTTAGCAGAGAAGGTGCAGCGGGCCCTCTCTTCAGCTCTCGCAGTGTCCCCACCTCAACTGCTCAAGTCTACATGCTAAAGAGAGTCTCAGAGGGGGAGCCGTGAGAGTCTGTAACTTTAAAAGCAACGCGCTGTCCTCTGGCACCTTGGAGACGAACACAAGTATACACCGAGTTGTGAGCTTTGGTGGGTAAAACCCACTTCCTCACACAAAAAGCTAGTGATGTTATATTTGTGTGTTCGTCTCTAAGGTGCCACAGGACTACTTGTTGATGCTAAAGAAAGTTGTTCTTGTGGTGTGCCAGGCCCTCCACGTCCCATCACCGAGAGCAGGCTCACCAGTGCTCTCCAGGCTCCAAAAAACCACTGCACAGGAAACATTTTTCACAGCTGCGTGCATGGCAAGGGATGGCACCATGCTATGTAGCAGCCTACCACCTGACCAAGCATGGCTGCTACCGGCAGAGGGGCAGCAGCGCATCAACAGAGCATGCACCCCTGTCTTGGGCAGAGCTCGCCTTCCGCGGAGGGGTTTGCTTTACACATTTGGGCAATGCTTCATACAACCCATCACGCTGTCAAATCTTATTGATTGCTCGTGTCTGACTCCATCGGTGGCATCCCACTGAGCACTGACACTTGGGGGCAAAGGGCCGCACCTGAACCTCAATGTTAGAGAGGTGACAGCCGTTTCTCTCTGGCTTACAAGGAGACATTTCACTGCATAGGATGTACACTGGCTTCGACCATTGCTGCCACCTTCTCAGCTCCGCGCAGGATAGACCCTAGTGCAGATAACATGGTCACTGATGGTGTTGCACTCCTTGGAGCTGGGGTAGGCAACTCTGTGGTTTTCCACTACTAGCTCCTCTCAAGGGATTCAAAAAACTCGGGTGTCCTCTCAGCAGGGACTCTAAGGGAACGGGAAGAATACACTTCAAACATCTTAATAAGCAAACTCTGCTGTAGCTGCAAAGAGCAATGGAACAGAGAGGGTGTTTCTAAGTGACTCGCTGTAAAATCAGGTAGCACACCCAAAGTACAGTTGCCATAAGTTAATCTCATCACTCCCACTGATGTGAAACAATAGAATTTGTTTTTATTTTTAAAACATGAGACAATGTAGCATGTAAGAGTTAAGAACACAGGAAAAAAAGCTTAAAGGCCTACCCACTTGTCCTATTGTCATAGCACAGCACGAAGAGAAGTCCAAGAATTGGACTAATTAGCTAGTCATTATTGGTCAGACTGCTGTACGGGGTCTTAGTAACAAATCCTAGAACACTAGAACTGGAAGGGACCTCGAGAGGTCATCAAGTCCAATCCCCTGCCCTCATACCAGGATCAAGTACTGTCTAGATCAACCCTGACAGGTGTCTGTCTAATCTGCTCTTAAATAGCTCCAGAGATGGAGATTCCACAACCTCTCTAGGCAACTTATTCCAGTGTTTAACCACCCTGACAGGTGGGAAGTTTTTCCTAATGTCCAAACTAACCCTCCCTTGTTGCAGTTTAAGCCCATTGCTTCTTGGCTTGGACACAGACATCCCTTAGGGGAGGATTCAGTAAAAGGAGATACTCTGTTACCCTAGTGAATAAAGTGTACAGGCAGGAACTGAAAAGAAACAAACAAACAAAATCTCAAGGTAGACAACTAAATACTGACAAAAATAACACATGCTAGAAGTCTAAGTACTGAGATGGGTTAACGTCAGATATTAAATGAGGATGCGGCTATAATAGGCATCACAGAAAACTGATGGAATGAGGATAAGCAATGGAAAATGGTAAATACATAGGAATGAGAGCAAGCTGTGTCGGTGGGGGATTGGAATTATATCTTAAAAAACAGAGTCACATATGAGAAACACCTTAAATGAATCAAATTAAACCACAGAATCTCTATGGGTAGAAGTTCTGTACTTGCGTAACAAAGAGCATAGCAGTAGGAATGCGCTACCTACCACCTGAGCAGGGAGATGATGGTGAAATGCCCAGAGAGATTAGAAAAGCTACAAAAACAGAAAAACAGTAATACTGGGGGATTTCAACTCTCCCCATATTGCCTGCGTACATGTCACCTCAGGACAGGATGCAAACGTTAATATTGTCTAGACATGTTACGTTTGCTTCTTGGAGCAGCTAATCCTGGAACCCACAAGGGGAGCAGTGATTCTTGGTTCAGTCCTCAGTATAGCCCAGAATCTGGTCCAAGGGGTGAATATATACCTGAAACACTAAGTAACGTAATTACATTTAGCATCCTTGTAGGAGAGTACATGTAACTTCACAAAGGGGAACTACACAAACATGAGAAAGCTAATTAAACAGAAATGAAAAGGAATAGTCACAAAGGTGAACGTCTGACACTGCATGGAAACTATTGATCAAAAAAATACCCCAAGAGCTCAAATGAAATGTGCTTCCCAAATTTTAAAAAAAGCAGGAGGAGGAATAGCAGAGGAAAAGAGCCAAAAGGGATTCCTTTAAACAGCGGAATCAAAGCCTATTGAAGCAAATAGAAAGGAACATACATTCTGGAAAGTCAAGTGTCCAAGTCAGATTAGGCAGGGCAAAAAGAATGTTAAGAACAAGCAGCAAAAGGCACAAACATGAATAGCAAAAATTGTTAAGCAGGAACTCTGCCAAACGGTCAGTGAGGCCACTGGATGATCAAGGTGCTAAAGGAGCTCTTAAGGAAAACAATGCAAAGACAGCCCAGCACCTCACTAGCTGGTACAGATTCCTTCCGAGAGAATGAGAAGTGTGTGTTGTCCATGAGGAGGAAGAGGGAGCTCAAATATATTCCATCTCAAGATACTTGCTCAAGCCCTTTGTCTTAAATACATCAACCCTTCTACTATGTGCTGGTCTTAAACCCCCAGGGCAGAGAACAGGCAATCTGCTCCCAAACAGATCTAATGAATGCCAATTTTGGAAAGGGTTCTGGTCTGGTCATTCCCGTAGCCAGATTCAGAAAGCACAGCAAGCAGCAGACACAGTACATTTCCCCAATCTCTTCCGTTTATCATCTGGAAAAACTTGCTTGTGAAGAAGAGTTTTACACTCTGTGCATCTTTAGATTGATACTCCACTCCAGCACAGGAACTAAACATCACAAAAGGCAAGATAGAATGCCAGGGCGTTAATATAACAATGCAGCCCCAGCCAGACACTCAATCAGCACTGTTAATCCCAGCCTCTTTGGTGTCTGGAGCAGCACAAAAGGCAAGGCCCTTGCAATCACCACCTAAAGCAATCACTGAAAACTTGAATTACAGGTGTTGTTCCACAACAAAAACCAAAGGATTCTGTCATTGCCTGGGAAAAAAAAATCCCCCACACTATAGAGATGGCCTCTTGTCGGGGAGCGCTGGTGTGACCTGTAAGCTAATTAGGAAGTTAAAGAATGTTGTCAAACTCTCATTCATTTTTTGTTTAGCTTTGTTCAAACAAACAACTGAAATCCTAAACTGCCTTTAGCCATTTAAGCAGCCACCTTGCTGACTGAAACACAGTGTGTGTGTCTCCTGTATGGGTGACACTACCTGTTAAAACACAAAGCTAAAAGTGTATCTGACATTCTGGTCCTCCTTTCCAATTCACAAGCACACTGTCGGTATTGTGTAACAGTGTTCCTTGTAAACTGTGACCTTGTGCAGATGCTCAGGAGAGATTCAAATACCACCAAGCTCATTAGCAGAGTTGCTAATAGCGGTGTATGTTCACATATGCCTCGGTACATTTAAAAAAATTTATTCTGCACATGGACAGAAAAAATCCGCATGTGGATGGAAAAGATTAGCGGGAACGTCATGTACTCTTTCTACTGGGCTGCACTTTCCAAAGGTGCATGTGCCAGAAATGCTTTATTTGTTGTTAATGCATTTATTGTCCCAGTACAATTACATAAAAAGTTTGGTGACATCCCACCATTTAAGCATATAATTTTATTATTACACACCACTGCAGAGAAACAAATACACCATCCAGAAGAAAAAGACTGAGATGCCGATTTTAATAGGTCACAAAGATACCGGTAATAACTTAGCATTTTTTTCGTAACTTGAGGACTATGTTTCTTTTGCTGAATTGATGTCTAGATTCACCTACAATACCAACCTTTCGGGTAACAAGAGCCTGAAACCTAAGTAAGCAGGAACTGCCATTTGTCACTAGATTCCAGTGCCACAAACACTCCAACCTATAAACACCAGATGCGTGATAGAGCCTCCACTTCTGTCCATCCTTAAGTTGTAATGCTGGACTTCTTCGTTCCAACAATCTCTCTGCCACCTCAACATCTAGCATGTTCTGCTAAGAGTGCTCGCTGTGATTCTCAGAACACAATTCAATGCATATAGCCACGAGGGGGTGCTAAAGAATAATGCAACATGCACCACTCTACCCCTAATCTAGTGATGTTCTTAGTCTAGTAAGCACAGAAATGCAGTTTCAAGTTTCCACTGAACCCTAATTTCCCATATGGCTAATTTTAAAAATACTATTGTCAAACCGATTTCCCCATCCCCACTTCCCCCAAGAAATACTCTCTCTTTATTCAGGCAAGCAAAGTAGTAATAGCAAAATTACAGCCATGTCAATTGTGAGAAGTGACTTTTTCAAGAGATGACCAACGATGTAGTTGTAGGCCATAGGACAGGGACTGCACTATGTAAAAATCCAGACAGACAGAGACTCTGTGTGTGGTGTGTATGTGGGGAGTATGGGGGGGGGGGGGGGGGGGGTTAACGTAACTCTTGCCCTCCCCACCATGTTTTATATTGTATGGATTGTTGTTCCTGTGTGTATTTCTATGACATTCCTAATACACTTCTAGGTGCCAAAAATAAATATTCCAGATGCCTTGAAACGTCTGCAATAGCTAGAAAAGCCTACAAGTCCCAGAGCTATTTCCTACCATCTACAACCATCTTAGAGCCGTGACTGGCACTAGTCAGTGTCATAGGAACCACATTTCTAGAAAACCTACCACCTCATTTCCTAAGCATTACTGGAGATTCGATCATACCCAGAACAGCAGCCCATGCAGACTTCAGCCCTGAGAAGGCTGTACATATGCACTACCCCATGATCCTGGGACTTCCAGAGCATACACTTGGCTGGCATTTTTGGATATACCAGTGCCCCAAGCCCCATACCTATTAATGCATATGAGAGGAACTTGTTCACAGATGTCAGGGCCAACCCGGTGATGGGACCTGTAGTGTCTTCAGAACGGATAACTTCCAGGAAGGGTCGGAGAAAGACATTGGGCTCGATTTCCGAAAGCTCTGTAACAGAGAGACAGCACATGGTTACAAACATAGCTTATCAATGGCCAGATCACAGAACTAAAAGCCATTCGTGCTAAACACGGATTCTTGTAACGGTGAGTAAGCTTTGTGGGACCTTGATGGACAGCCACACTGACCATCCCTTTGGTGACTCGCAGTACAATGCGAGCCCGACCTACCTGGCAAACTCCACCAGCACACACATGACAATCTAAATCCTCACGCTGCCCGTTTGCTCATTAGTCTCATTCATTAAGTTGCATTTAATTTCCCCTCTTAGAAGCTGCCCAAGATCAGTCTCTCAGGGAGGAAGCCCTACAAATGGCTCATTACTCATTTCCGAAGATTGGAGGGAAGGTGGGGGCTGCTCCTAAAAATGAGCGAGGCAGAGTGAAGAAAGGGTTATGAAGCGCCTTAATTCTTATGCAAATGTAGTGATCTTCTAATCTAAACAGCTTTCTGAAGCCTCCTGTCTGAGCTCCCCTTGTAAGAGCACTATGTAAACACCACAGAGCTGCTGCTCCTTAGATTAATGCTTTAATTAATTGGCAGATATTGCAGTGTTTTCCTTGGATGCCTGTAATATGATCAAATTAGCCATCTAAAACCTGACTCATCCATCGCCATTCCCCCACAATATCCACTGTGTGCACAGTCTATTCACCATCACCTATAGAGCGAACGCATGTAGGGTGGGCGTGTCCCACTGGCTTGTACTGAAGCTAGTGCTCTCTAGACCAGTTTAACTGTGTCTAGGCAAGAGAAACCGAACCAAAACTATTTTAGCCACTTCCGCCTTCCCCCCCCCCCCCCCCAACAACTTTGGTCCTCAGACTGTACATTTACCCCTAGAAGTGAAATGGGGGGAGGCTCTTCAAGATGAGTGATCCCTATCTCTATCCCGCTGGGGACCGAACACGCTCCCAGCGCCCTTGGCCCACCCCTCTGCTCTGCAGTGCCTTGTGACGAAGGGACGAGGAGTGGATCAACCACATCTCCAGTTCCTTCACTGCAGATCTACCAGATCCCTGGCAGATGGGAAGAACAGGCTTGGATACAGACAGGAAGCAAACATCTCCACTAACCGTAACCAGCCTCCCATTCTTTGAGCAATGATCCCTACTGTATCCCACTGAGGATGACTAATAAGCAGTACCTAGTTAGGAGGAAGGGGTGGGAAGATGATGGCACCATGGAAGGGAGGATCACTGCATTGAGGGTTGTGCCCTCCCTTACTCCGTGCCCTCCCAGCTGGAACCAGGAGTGGAACCGTGGCTGGCATCTCGGGTGGGGCAGAGGATGAACTGGAGAAGGGGGCCGAGGCCAGGGCAGGAGGCAGGGGTGAGAGTGGAGCCGAATATCTGGGCTGCAATGGAGGCCGACAGTCAGGCCTCTGGCAAGCTAAGTTCCCTGTAAGCGCTGCAGGTGCCTATTTAGTGCTGGGCGGGTGCTCAAGGACCCCGTCCAAGAACCTCATGGACGTCGACGTAGAAGTAAGTGCAGTGCATGCAGAGAGCCCTGTCTTGCTTGTGGTGGGGAGTGGGTGTTAAGCATCATAAACCTGATTGCACAGCGACGTTGATCGTCATCCCGGACCCACTCGTTACTGTACTCCCTGCTGGTGAAGAGTTTGAGAGGGTACCTCAAGGGTGTGGGCTGGCCAGACCTTGGGGTACAAAGTGGCTGACGTCTCTCTAGATGTATGCACAAATACTGCTGTGCTGTGCTGCGCAGAGGGCTGCACCTAGACCAGCCCTATGGCCCATCAGGTGCACCTGTGAGGATTGTAGGCTCACTAGTGGCAGGATAGTGTAGGCGGCAGGTATAGATTTTTCACTTCAGTGCAGGCGTATATTTGCCGAAGGACTGCAGGTTGGGATGTACTAGTGTAGAGCTGATTAACCAATAAGCAAAAGCTGAGAGGTTGATGCTATAGTCTATACGTGTTCCCCTCCCCCTTCGTGCCAGTACATTTCTTAGCAGGCTGGCCAGCAGCCCAGCTCAGTCCTGGCTTGTGCCGGGTCTGGGACCTACCCCGCTGCAGCTCTGCATTTAAAGTGTAGTAGGAGCCAGTGGGCAGGCAGCCTGGCTCAGTTCCGGCTCGTGCTGGGTCCAGGAGCTCAGACCCCCCTGTACAGGGTCTGCTGCCACCCTGCGCTGCTGTCTCTATATCAGAGGCAGCAACAGGGGGCAACAGGCAGCCGGTCCATGAGGGGAGCTGGTTTTCAAGCTGGCTCCTCTTGCGAACCAGCTCTTGCCTAGCACCCTGCGCTGCTGCCTCTGATACAGCGTCAGGAGTCTCCTCAGGAGTGGGGCCAGAGCGCACTGGCTGCGAGCCCCACCCCTAGGGACTCTAGAATAGTCAAGTAACAGGTAAGAATTCCTGAGGTGCACTGACTAGTCAATTAACCGATATTTAACATCCCTCGTCTACAGTCTCCCAGCAAGTGTAAAGAACCTTCTGTCGTCTGGTTGCAGAGGCGTCATTCGCCAAAAGGGAGATTGGTCCTTGTGCTCTATACCTCATTAGAGAAGCCTGAGGAATGTAACTAGATTCCCTCCTCATAGCTACTCCAGTCACCACTGTATGCGAGGACGTAGCTGTGGAATCAACGGAGACCTGAAACATGGTCCTGAAGACAAATTTACCCTCCTCCAAAACAGCCTGGAAACAGGCACAATCTTGCTGATGCATCTTATCTGAAAAATCTACCATTTGCCTATAGTCCAGCAAGTCACACATGGCTATCAGCATTAGATAGCTCAAGATATGGACCTGAAGGCGGGTCAAGCCTCTTGCCCTCCTTTTTGGAAGGGATAGAGCATAAATGCTGTTGTCGGGCCTGTTCCTCATCTGCCTTCATGACCAGGCAGAGGAAGGGAGAACGGAAATTCAGAACCCTTAGGGGGCACGCTACCACTTTTCTGCTCCCTTTGGGCTGGAGGCGCACGTGACTGTCGTATGCCTCACGATGCGTATCAGCTGGAGAATGGTCCTGTTGGTCAGTAGGGCTGCTATAGAGGACACTGATGCATGCAAGAGGATTAGTAGTTGGAGGTGGTGTAGGAGAGTCAACACCGATGGCATATGGGCAGCATTAGCTATTCTCTTGAGCAGCTCCCGAAACCAACCATAATTACCAGGGGCAGAGGAAAGTGGCAATGGCACAGCTGCGTCCAGGGACAAGGGAACTCTCTCCAGATCTGTTGGTATCATCAGAGCTGGGCTGGCACATCTTCCAGACCCAGATCCAACCGTCTAGTTGGAGAAGGATGGGGTGGTGAGGCAGGGCATTTCTCTGGGACTGAGCGAGAGGCTTAGGAGATCAATGGAATGGGGAGCATTGTAGGAACACAACCAGAGGGAGGCAGATCTGACGTAGGAGAGGGTCCCTCTTCACAGGGGAATGAACCGAAACATGCAGAGCCTTCATCCTTTTCCAGGGCAAACAGTTTGTATGGCCCACGAACACATCCAATTCCCTACGTCATGAAAGGTACCCAATACACAGATGGAATCAGGGCTGGTAATGGGGCCTGTCTCATGACTGATGAGTCACACTGCACCACCAGAGCCAGAACAGGAGAAGTCGTGTGCAGTTCAGGAACTGGGACCAGCGGAGGTGGCAAACAAAGTGATGTCTTGCTGTTGGGTGCCTTCAAACAGCGTTTGTCAACCAGCGATATGAGTACCCTTAGGGATACTTGAGGGACGTCTGGGGGGTACGTCAACACAACTGAAATTGCAATGAGGTGTAACAGTTAATCCGAACTAAGTAGTTAGTTCGGATTAACTTCTGACTGATGCGTGTAGCCGCGGGCAGGCAGTTCGAACTAAGGGGATTTAAAAATGGCACCTGCCCGGGAACATGAAAATGAAGCCCGGGATATTTAAATCCCGGGCTTCACTTGCAGGTTCGAACGCCTACATTAGCCACCCTAGTTCGAACTAGGAGGCTAGTGTAGACATACCCTAACATATTAAAGCTGCTTGGCCAGAAGAGCCAGATTTAGTAACAAGTTAGAAACCCTGCAACCACTTGCAGATCCTCTGGACTATTTCCAGTTATGAGAACACCAGAGCCATTCAGTTTCAGGTTGTGATTTTACACCGAAGTTACACACTCCAGGACAGCAGGATAGTTAGGAACTCTTACTCCTCATTGAAACACTTGCTTTTATCGCAAAGTTAGATCTCTCTTGTACAGAAAAAAATAGATGCCACCCCACCAGTGAGCTAGGTTACATCATGCCACCTTCAATACCACACTAGAAAACATTCCTTCCTCGCCAAGCAACAGCGCAGTTCCCTGATGGGAAGTCAGTCTCCTCCAGCCAGGAGGCAATCCCGCCCCATTGCACTCCAGCGCCTAGCTGGTGCCTCTAACTGCACCCCAGAAAGCCAGATGTATTAAGGCCACTCATTCTCCTGCATTCCTGGCATACAAGATCCAGTCCTTCTGTGGAGAGATTTCATCTCATTGCTGATACACTGTTGGCACATTCCTGATCTAAAATGCTCACATAAGCTGCTTTCACTGGTAGCTAAACTCTTCACTCCTGAGTAACTCTTATCAGGGTCGGCTATGCATTCTAAATCAGATTAAATGGGCAAGAAAAAATAGTTTATGACAAGTTATTTCAACCTCATTTATCCACAGGACAGGCAACTGGAACCCAAACCACATGACTGGCCTGGCTCTTTCCTATGCAGCAGCTGTTACTCTTTGATGTCCTGCCTGAAGGAAGGCTGTTGAAACTTCTTTATTATGTGCATCTCATTGTAACACATACCAGACAACTCAGACAAGAACACAACATTTCCAGCGTAAGGCATCTTCCCTGACTAAGTACTCATGTTTATATTACAAACAGGTCTTTTGCTCATTAACCTGAGCAACCGGTAAAACTAACACAAAAATTCAGGTAATTCATCCATTTGTTCCAGGCCACCTGGTTTTTCCTGGTGGTGATGGACTCCAGGTCAGCCTCATCTG